AGACGGAGGGTTGAAGTCGTTTCGAAGGACATCCTGGAGGCGGCTCGCGTTTTGCGGGACTGGAGGTTGTAAAGTTGAAGTGGGTCCTGGTCAATCGAGTGTGTGACAAGACTCCTTTGAGTCGGTAAATAGATTTCATGTTCGGGTCACGCTTGGATCGAAATGCTGAACATTCTTCGAACTTTGAAAGCTTCAAAAGCTACAGTTTTTGCTGACTCTGAAGATGGTAATGGAAAACTTGCCTTGTTTGAAATGAAACGGCTTGTATCTGTGGGGGATTCCCAGTTTGAGAAGGAGAAGAAAAATTCTGCAAAGGGGGGGGAAAGTTTGACGTCAATCGTATCCAGTGCAGCCTCTTCTCTGCCGTGAACTGGAAAGAATCGATCGAGGCCCATGCTACTTGCAAGACCTGACCAAAAGACGAGAAACAACACATAACAAAAGATTGTTCGTTTCGCCTAATGTCTCTTCTTCATGTACGACGACGAGGCGAATTGGGAAGTAACAATGCAACGGCTGTACACTGTTTGGGCGGTTCGAGGCGCTTTGTTAGCAGGCGAGCTCGGAGGTTCCCGGCAGGGCTTCTGCGTTTCCGGCGCGCCTGTTTGGGCGCCGGGTTAGGCTCAAGGTGGGCGCGGAAACTGGTCCTAATGTCTCCTCCGGCGACCAAATCACCGTCCTTTCTGCAGATGGGTCGCCTTTGACGGGCAAATCGTAGATGGGGTTGGCGTTGACGAGTCCGCGTTCCAGATCATCTGCAACCTAGGGTCAGCGCTTAAGTCCCGAGGGGTCAAGGCGATTGACGTGGCGGTAACGGATCTTCAGCGGTTGATCCTGGAGGGAAAGCTGGCTGACGACCGCGCGCTCGATGCTGCCGTCACCATCCTGGAGGATGTCGTCAGCAACGTGATCCCGGGGATCGTGTCGAGCGCGGAAGACGAGTTTGACGAGTGAGGATTCGAAGCTTCTCTCTGATTTGTTTTCATCAGTGCCCTTCATCTGACGTGAAAAGCACCCTCGTTTTGGATCAACATACTCTCGTGAGGGCGGAAAGGGCGGGTTTATGGAAAAGATCTAGGGGAGGAATTCGTTCCATATGCATCCACTATCAGAGGGAAAAGGCGAAGCGCAGCCGTTTCACAATCGGTCCTAACCAGATGCTTTCGTGCTGGATTTCATGAGGGAATAGATTGCATACCACGCATCTATATAAGGCAGATTAGTTCTGTAGGCGGACAGTCAGGCGAAGAATGTCAAACACGGCTCGTTTCTAGAATTACCATTCGAGGTTCCAGTTTGCCGAAGGTGCATATGAGTCTGCTTCAGTTTTCAGACCTCTCAGAGTCGAAGAGACGGAAGACCTGAAGAAAAGGAGATCTCAATTCTGCCTCGCAGGTTCGCAAACGACCTTTTCACCATCTGGGTCAACGGCATCCGGCAGCTCGACTACCTCAACCTGCTGAAACGCGCGCGCAACTTCGTCGAGGGCATCGTGGAAAGCTCCGGCAAGACTGCCCCCCGCGCGCTGAGAGAACGGCTGTACAACATTCTGGTGGACCGTTGTGCGGCAGAGGGCAAAAAGCGGCACCGAGACCTGTTAGCGCAGTTTCGGGAGGCGCTTAACCAGCTGTGGGGAACCGAGGGTTACGCCCCACTTAACGTGATAGAGATTGAGAAGCGCATGGAAGAAGTGCGGGAACGAGCGCAGGAGCATGGGGCGGTAGATGTTGATCTGGCGGAGGCGGTAGAGGGATCCTACGGCGGGGTGCGGGTTTGGGTTAGCGACCCAACGGCGGGTTTGGAGGCGGTTAGCGAAGAGGAACTCTTGGTGGGCTCGTGGGAGGAGTGGTTAGAGGAAGGCGAGAATGTGGTAACAGTTTTGCGGGAAAATGCTGGGGCGGTAATGGATTGGTATGGCGACCAATTGCCAGAAGACGTGAGGGCCGTTCTGGAGGAAGAACTAGAGAAGCGTCGGGCGGCTACGGGGGACGTTACGGACGCGAAGACAAAACCGGGGGTGAGGCAGGTAGCCCGGAGGAAAGCGCCGGGCGCTTCCGCCCCAATCGAGAAGCTGGTTCAAGAGCTGCAAGAGGCGCACGACGGGCTGCCTCGAAAGGGGGGGGCGGTGGACAGGGCAATGGAGGCGCCCTGGGAGAGGCTGAAAGAAGTGTGGGGGTACCCCTACATGGAGGAGCCGTGGTTGGTGGACTTGTCCCGGGCGCTCGAATACCACGGGCCGGTGGCCGGTACGATTTTCATTGGAGTGATTCAGGAGCTTTTACCGGCGCGGGGGGGGGCTCTGGTACTCCTGGAAGCCGGGAACAACGCGATCCCCCCGGTTGTGTTGGATTACAATTTCGAGAGCGTGCCGATGCGATTTCTGGGCAAGTGGAACAAGTTCGACAAGGAGTTTGCGAAGAAGGCGCCGTGGAAGGCGAAGAAGGGAGGCGCGGACGGGTCGGACAGTGCGGAGGGGTCGAGCGGTGCGGACGGTTCCAACGGCGCGGACGGTTCGAACGGGGCGAAACAGGTGTCAGAATGCGAGAATGCGGATAAGGGTAGTGCTGCGGATGGCGAAAACGAGAAAGCGAAGGAGGGGAAGTCGGTGTCCGCCGAGGGGCGGGATTTGGATGAAACGAAAAAAGCAGAGAGTAGCGCGGCGAGCGAGCCGTCCGAATCGGTGAACAAGTTTGTGCGAGCCACAGTGGGTTCGTTCCAAACGGACGCTGCGTCCGGCACGGACTCGGAGACGGCATCCGAAGCGTCCGAAGCGAAAGTAGAGCCGTCGGGAGCCAAAGCAGAGGCGCCGCAGTCCTTGAGCGGGACGCCGGAAGCGACCTCAGAGGCGTCGATAAGGGATGAGCCTTCTAAATCAGTAACGGAGACAGGGACAACCGCAAAAGCAACTGAAGTGGCGACGGAGAAATCAAAAACGGAAGAAGCGTCAAATGCGGAAGTAGAGCAGTCAACTTCGGAAGAGGCGTCCGAAATGCCGACGGTGGCGTTCGAATCGGTAGCAGCGGCGTCCGGTTCGGGGGTTGATGCACCTGGCTTAGCGGCTGATGCGTCCGAATTGCCGCTTGATGTGTCCGAATCAACGGCAGATGCCGCCAAACGTGGGGCTGACTCGAAGGCGTCCGAACTAACCACAGAGTCGTCCGACGCGACCGCAGAAGTGTCCGAGTCGGCTGTAGAAGCGTCCGAAGCCGAGCCCGAGACCGAGCACACCGACCGGCAGCCCGGGTCGCACGGGCCGGTCATTTATCAGCGGCACGAGTTCCTGTTTTCCAAGCTAAGCGGCCAAAAGTGCTCGTCGGAATTACGGGAGACGATCTGGGCCAAGACGAAGCGCGGCCAGTACGTGCTGGTGCAAGTCAAGGGGCCGAGCGCGAGCGGGCGCACGTGGGAGGACGGCCACCCGATGCCGGAGGTGTCGACCGAGATCGAAATAAGCGGGAACCACATGGTGAGGGATTTTGCGCGGTATTGTGAGAAGATTGAGAGCGGAGAAATGTACTGCATTCATAAGCAGAGCTGACGCTCTCAGGCGGCCAATGTTTGATTGCGGGTTTGCTGTCCATCTATCCTGTCGCTCCATTGAGGAATCTAATATGTGCCTGGTTTTCAACGGCTCCAGATTGTGACGAAAACTATGGACATATGGGGTGTCGTGATTGCAGTCGAGGTTGTAGGCGCTTAAAGTTCTAGGGAGTCGAGGACAGTTTGGGACTGTTCTGTCCTTCAATGGTATACAAAAGAATTGGGGCGATCTGCGGTATTTGTGGGTGGCGAGCTTTCAGGGGTTGAGCACGAGGCCCTATGTCAGCCGTCCAAAGAGTCCGCAAGTGTTGGAAGCTTTCCCTCCGAACCGAAGCTGTATTCTGAATCGTGAATCTTTGGATTCGAGGTCAATACAATACCAATATCCTGTTTGGCCGTTTCAAACTCAGTCCCCCATTCGTCGCTCCGAGCGCCCGCTTTGTGTTAAAACCCAAAATGAAAAGAACCCAGCTGTGGACGCCCACGTCTTTCCTTAGATCTCGGCTTTCCTGTACAGATCTTCCGCCCCGGGCGCAACGACATCTTGGATGTCCACCCCACGATCCTCGGGTCGGAGCGCCACCGCCTGCTCCTCTTCGTCGCCCTTAACGCGGTGCCCGGTTGCGGGCTGTCCGTGCGTGCGTCCGCGGAAGGCGTGTCGGACGTGCTTTTGCGGCGGGAGCTGCAGGAACTAGATCGGGAGTGGCAGACGATCAAGAACCGGTGCTACCAGAAGGCGTACCACCGGTTGGGGCCGCAGCAGGTGCGGAAACGATTTTGCATCTTAGAAGGAGGGAAGCACTCATCTGTGAGGAACGTGCACAAAGCGACGGAGAGCTTCACACGACTGCGCAGCAAGCTTCGAGAAACGAAGCTTGCGTAAAAAACACAGAAGGTCATGAAGGAACATCAAATCAAATCTCTGTCGCTTCCTCGCGCATAGATTGAACACAAAGCACTCTCCAAATCTGTATAGGAATGATGGTCAATCTGGGCTGGGCGGGGTTACTTTAAGGGTTCAGGGTGGAAACTTTTGCGGACGTGGTAATATGAGTCAGTGTTAGGTTTGTAGATTACTGTCTCCAAGTCGAGATCAGGTAAAGAGCCCGTTCCTGCTAAGTGTTTCACCCGGCAGTTTCTGCGGGCAAGCCAGATGGCGCGTTTTGAGCACCACGCCCTGTGCGCAAACAATACCGTCCCACGATCAAGGTCGAGATCATTATCGACGTCAGCTTCTTGGATTTTTTGGGTTGAAGGTTGACCAGACCGTCTTTGCCAGGTGTTCCACCCTGAGGTGTACGCGGGCAAGATGGCCCGCCAGATGGCGCGCCTCGCGCACACGACAGGTCGACGGTCCAAGAATGACGTTCATTCCTTGGATCACTTGAGTTATGTCTTGGATTAATTTTAACCAAGTTTGTTTCCGGCAGGTGTTCCACCCTGAGGTGTACGCGGGCAAGATGGCCCGCCAGATGGCGCGGCTCGCGCAGCAGGACGCGGTGCAGGCGCGCGTCGCGGAGCAGCGCCGGCGGGAGGCGCTCCGGCAGGCGGAGTTCCGGGAGGAACTAGAGCGGGAGGGAAAAGTGGCCAAGGACGCGCCGATTCCCGCAGAGCTGGCGAAGCTCAAGGGGGTGAAGAAGGGGACGAAGGAAGGGGACGAGGGAGAAGAGGTGGTGGAAGGGAAGGGGGACGAGCCGGAGACGGAGAGGAGAACTGAGGTAAGAAGCTCTTTGATGGTTTCGTTGTTGGGAATGGTTGTTTTCCTGGGAGGTTTTGAGGAAGTTATGAGTCGGGGCTGATGCGGGAGATTCTGCAAGGGCGGACAAGCGAGGGCAATGCTCGGATGGAGTGGCTTGAATTGCAGTCCTTTTCAGTGTCTTTTTCAGATGGTCAGTGAAGGTTGCAACTCGTTCAAACAATTAGGCCAAGCGAAGGCCTGATTGCATGCGAAGGACGACACCGTCAGTAGGTTGTACGAGAAAGAATGAAACAGACTTCAATCCGGCCATGCAAGTCTCATCGAATACTTCTTCCGCTACAAGGTATCAGGACACCCTTGCCAAAGCCAGCCTTGTGATCCTTGCCAAACCGTTTGGCGCCTAAGGCACCAGATGATTAACCACCTCTAACCCCTGGTTTACCCCGACACATCGCCTCCATAAACCTCCCCACACTTGAAGACTTACTGACTCTTCTCTTCTGACAGGCACCGGATGCGGGGCCCAAGGTGCGGCGCGAGATCATCATCAACGCGGCGCGCACGTCCATGCCACGTGTCGCCATCCTGGAAGACGGGAGGCTGGCGGAGATGCTGCTGGAGCAAGAGAAGCAGGTGCACTCACGCGCCGCAAAGTTCCGTCGAAGACGGTTTAGTTGAAAGGTTCCTGTTCGGTTCCTGCGGATGATTGTTGACTCAAACAATCTTGAAATTGATTTGAGATCCTTGTTAAAGCGAGGAAAGGAGCAAGAACAGGCTTGTTTGTGTTCTTCTCTTTTTTTCCAACGTGACCGTGTCAGTCAAAACCCCGGCACCCTTACATTGCCACCTTTCAAAAGCCCGCTTTGAGACATCGCATGATTCAAGTGTCCCGACGATGAAGAATCCAGCTATTGATTCTCGAAAAAGCGCACACAATTGCGAAGGTTTTTCTGTCCCATAGTTCGTTTTTGTTCACAACGCTTTCCTTCGAAACAGCGACAGATCAAGTAACCAGAGTGGAAGTTTTTGGTCGCAGCCAAGTGCTGTGCGCGACGTCCCGCTGGCGCAAGTGACCGCGAGGTATGCTCAATAGCGGGTCTGTTAGTAAATGTCACCGTGTTACTCATAATCCACAACTCCGAATGCTGTTACGCATAAGAGCCTGATTGCTTGGCCAGGTGTCGGTGGGTGACGTGTTGCTGGCGCAAGTGACCCCCCAAAGTGCGTGCGATGGCGGGGCTGTTTGTCGACGTCACTTGTGACAGACAAATTCCCAAAACCTAAACTGAAAGCATTTCTGGAGTCGATTATGTTCTTTCCTTCCTGGACAGGTGTCGGTTGGTGACGTGCTACTGGCGCAAGTGACCGCCAAGGTGCGCGCGATGGCGGGTCTGTTCGTCGACGTCACCGTGTACAAAAAGGCGTTCCTGCAAGCATACAACCACCACCGGCCGTACGTCTTCCGGCGGCTGCCCAACGGGAGCGTCGAGGCGGTCGGCGGTGGGGACGAAGATTTCGGTGACGGGACGGATTCCGGTGTCGGAGCGGAATTCGGCGACGGGGTTGAGGAGCTGGAAACGGGGTCCGGTTCCGGTAAGGAGGCCGAGCGGAACGGAACAGGGCGGAAGGAGGCGGAGGCGGGCGCGAGCGACGAGGAGGAAGAAGGGGGCGATGACGGCGAGGATGACGTCATGACCGAGGAAGGGGATGAAGAGGAAGAGTTGCAACTAGGGGAGGAGGGAGGGGAAGATGGAGACGAGGACGAGAAAGGCGAGAGTGGCGATGCAGAAGGAAAGGAGGGTGGTGGTACGTACAATCGATGCCGCCATTTCAACTTTGAAGCGTTGAGATTGCTCTCTACAGAACTTGATTTGTACGTGTATTGCTGCTGTTATCAATGAAGCTTCGCAATGAACTCTGTGGGATGTATGGGTTTGATTGTTTTGATACCTGCCCCTGTTGCCTTAGGCACCGGCATATTTTGGGCTTCGGAGAGGGAGCTCTCGAAAATGCCGGACGTCCGGATGACGTTGCGCTTCGAAAAACCCACGCGTTTGACAAATGCGAGAGCCCGAGAAATTTCAGGCAAAGCATGAGCTTCGTCATATTTGCGACACCAAGAAGTTGCCCCGTCTAGCGTCTGTGTCTCACAACGTCCACGGGACAGGGCTCAATTGAGGGAGAACTTGAGGTCACTGCTTTTATCACGCTTGCTTCTCAAGCAACGCATTCATCCACTTGCTTCCCTGCATCACTTAGAAGCAATCATTACAGGAAAGAAGCAATCTCTTTCCCTCTAACGAGAGCGGAGCACATCAATGCCCTTTCTTAGCTACGATCTTCGTGCTTCCCTTCCAGGCAAAGACGGGCACGTGGCACTCCGCCAATCAGGATGGACCACGTCGCGCAACTGGCAGGACGTGGAGGTGGGCGACTTTGTGGTGGTCAAGTGCACCAAAGAATCGTACGGCAGCAAGGGACCCAAGGTCTCCGCCGTGCTGAGCCACCCGGGGCGCTTTGTGGTGAGGCGGTTACGAAGTCTCTTCAGGGCTTTGAACGGACTCTGAGTTCCATTTTCGTTCAATCATACAAGGGGCTTGAGATCGATGAAATTCAGCAGAAGATTTGTACAGCAGAAAGGTGCCCAAGGTGTCCGTAATGCTGAGCCACCTGGGGCGCCATGTGTGAGGCGATTGGATCAAACAGGTGGTAACTTTTGTCTCGGGCACATCCACCGCGCTCTTTCTACCCATAGAAACGGAAGGGGCAGCAGCCCATTCCAAATTGTTTGCGTCCCTCCTCTTCGGCCTTTCGTTCATTACATAGGAAGGTAACAGCGCTCTGGCATTAGGACAACTCAGTCTCCACGGTGTGGCCCCAGATCTGGCCTCTACAAGGGGCCTTCAATGTGAAGTCATTATGGCAACGAGGCTTGTAGAAAGAGCCGTCGGGCTGAGCTTCGTCGGCCGCTTGGAAAAGGACTGAAGATGCACTCAGGACGTTTCAAGTTTCGGAATGGTGCTGACCGCGCTCAACGAAGGCGTGCAGACTCCCGCCAAGCTCCGCTCCCCTGCGGACCCGAGAGCACTCTGTACAAGTTGCGGAACTCCGGAGCCGTCATATCTCAGCAAGAATCAGGGATTTGGGATCCCCAAAACCCTGACACCATGGTGCAGGTGCTGACCGCGCACGGCGACGTTGTGACCATTGCAGCCATTGATCCCCTAGCGGATTGGAGAGCGGACTAAAGTCGCTTTGTGAAACTGCGGACAGTCTCGAAGCCTTCAGAACCTGACACTGTTCTCATACTCAAACTTGCCCATAACCGTTTATGCAGGTGCTGACTGCGCGCAGCGACGGCGTGCACATCTCCGCCAAGATCCGCTCCGGCGACGAGCGGAAGCGGCTCGAGACGCTGGGCAAGCTGCTGAAGCCCGCCGGGTACCGCCTGCTGCTGCGGACTGAGTCCAAGGCGGCGCAGGGGAAGGAGATTCAACAGGACATTTACCAGGTGCGAAACAAGGTCTGGTTTTCCGTGAAGTTAGGCCTAGTTGCATCAAAGCCTCGGTCTCAGACAGAACCAAAATCTTAAAAGTAGATCACCGCTCGCTGCTGTGCACTGAGTCCAAGGCGGCTCAGGGGAAGGTGATCCAACAACATGGCTAAGAGGTGCGAAACAAGTCTCGAGTTTTATGCCGTCAAAGTCAAGAGTCGGGCCTGAGTTGAGTTAAATCAGTACTCTGGAGTCAAATAGTTTAGAAAGCCAAACCCGTGGTATTGCCTGCTGATGCGCACGGAATTCAAGGCGGCGCAGGGAAAGAAGATTCAACAAGACTTCTCCCAGGCAGGCACACCGCAGAACTCTGAATAGTCTCGTCGCCCTTCATCTTTTTACGTCAAAAGATGGACACTTGAGACTTGTAGTTCCTGAGCGGTTTGCCCAGTTTGAAGCAAACCGTCACCGCGGTCCTAACGCAATGGACTGCTTAAAGGCTTACGTTGCTGTCTGAGTTGTGATTTGAAAATTTAGGAATAAGGCACAACCTGGGCGATCGTGAACTTTTGCGATCCGCCTGCCAGGTGCAAACGGTGATCGAGGGGATCCTGCGGAAGGCGGAGGAGGCGGTGAAGCGCAACACGGGGGCGCTGCTGCTGTACAAGGCCATGACGCCGACGCAGGCCATCGTGCGGGACCTCATGTCGACCGAGGTGGGTTTCTGGCAGGATGTCGTCGGGTTACCTCTGCACCTTTGGCGCTTTAGAGATCAAAGTCTTACATTATGGGCTTGCAAGCTGCTCTCGGTGCCAAATTGCAGATCAAGAGTCGTCGACTGATGTGGCTTTGGGTAATGGGGCCCTATATGTAGCTTTACTTCTACGTGTAAGGCTAGAGTAAACGGTTGCTACCACGACTCTTCTCAAGTGCTACTTTCTATATCAAACATCAATCTCCGACCCGTCTCGCACTCAAAAGCCTAGTCGGACAGCGGCCGCGGTTGAGTCGCTGGATCATTTGTTCCTTGGAGTTCACTTTCAACACGTGGAACCACACTTGCACATGCCAAGAACGATGTTCGACTACTCTGGCTGCTTCAAGATGTTACAACCCTTCCCCCCCTCCCCTTCCGCAGGTGGTGCGCCTGGTTGTGGACACCCCCGAAGTGCACGCCCAGGTGATGTCATACCTCGCCGAAAACAACAGCGAGCACTTAATGAACCGCGTCGAGCTGTACTCCGGGAAACAGGGCGTGATGGACGCTTTCGGCGTCGAAGGTCAGATCAACTCGATTTTCCAGAGCCGCGTGCAACTAGAGTCGGGCGCTTACCTCGTGATCCAAAAGACGGAGGCCCTCTGGTCGATCGACGTGAACGGCGGGCGGGCGGTGACGTCAGGAAATCGTACACGTGCCGAAGCGCAGAGCGAGACGCACTTGAGGATCAATCTGGAGGCCGCCCGACAGGTGGCGAAGGAGCTGCGCGCGCGGGACGTGTCGGGGATCGTGGTGATCGACTTCATCGACATGGCCAGCCCAGGTGGGTTAAGGGCTGGGTTAGCGGGCGGGTTTGTATTTGTGTTGGCTTTGACGAGAGTCGAGCAAGTCCTTCAGCGCAAAGGAATCATTGTTGTGGTGTTTACCAGTGAGAGATGTCTTAGGATCGTAATGATTGTTGTCATCGAACGGGCCAGCTCGTGTGGGGTAAGGCCCCCGTTAGGAGGCGGGTTTGCGTTTCATCTAGGTGGAGAAGCGGATCTCGAAGAATTTGAGAGTAAATTCTGTAGCTTTGTTTCTCGAGTGCGGTCGTCAACTTCGTTGACATAGATACCGTAAGTGCGTCACGGCCCGGGGTGAGCAAGTTCTGCTCCAGGGCGGGTGACTAATCGAATCTGAGATTGTCTGAAGTTTGCTATCCCCCACTGCATACACAAACATCATCCAAGGAAATGTTTGCATCGACTCCTCGACTCGGGTCGCTTAGGTAGGTCAAAAGCCGGGTCAACTCGCGGTGCTTGCTTTGTGGTGAATGAAAAGCGAGATACAGAATAGAGTGCGCCCACAAAACGCCCTCGAACCAACACTCGTTTAGGGGCGCCCCGTTCCGATGTTGCAACACGTGTCCCTTTTTGCAGCCATGAATGTCCAGGTGGAGAAGGCGATGTGGGAGGCGCTCCAGACGGACCGCGCCCGGGTGAAGATGGGCAAGATCAACGAGCCGGGCAACTGCATGCAGATTCTGCGCAGCAGGGTGAGAAGGTTCAACGCTCGGATCCCACTGCGGAACCTGCTTCTAGGAGCAGTTTAGAGCCCAGAGCTCCAAAGAAGTTCTTCGGGGGCCTGAATGTTTGTAGAGTTGTTTGGAGTGTTAATAGAGCTGATGCAAGCAGACCATAACGAGCCGGGCAACTTTATGCAGATTCTTCGCAGCAGGGTGAGCGGACTTCCGCTACTCCCTTTCAGTTTAGGGGCCCCGGAGCTTTCAATTCTCATCACTTCAGGAGCCTAAACATCTGTCGAGTTTTCTGTTGTTCGAGCTTATCAGCGAAATCAGCTTGGATGCACGCCTTTCGCAAATCTCGGCTTTCGATCTCTGTTCTTTTATCTCTGTGAACTTTTGGGCTGCTGTCAGAGTTTGAAGCGAGCAGGTCTCACGAGCAGGATGTAGGAATTTTGACTCTGACTTTCTTTGCTCCACGGTCTTACAATTTCAAGTATGTAGGTTCGTTGTTAGAGTCCAAGCGCAAACGCCCTGAAGCGGATAACTGCAGTAGTGATGTGGAAGGTCACCCGGCTTTGGGATGCGCGCGTATAGAGGACCAAGCAGTGTCGGGGTCCAAAACTGGCAGAATGGGAAACCGGAGTCCCCGTTCTACTTCCACAGGTTCTGTCAGAGGATCAATAAGTACCTCAACCCTTCCACCTACCCTTACGAGTCTCAGCTCCTTAATCCGTCCCTTGCAGTTGCGCGACAATCTCGCCAACTTGCTGACCGCCCCCTGCCCGCTCTGCACCCAAGACTTCCATTCCGTTTCCGCCGGCCGGATTCCGTCCCGGGAGGCCGTCGTCGCCGAGATCGAGCGCACGATCGTGCGGAAGGAGGCGGACGGGAGCATTCCGCGGACGCCGGGCTCGGCGGAACGGCCGGAAAGCAACGGGCGGAACCCGACGTGGCCGACGATCTTCTTGACCGTGCACGAGAGAGTTGAACAATTCTTCCTGGGAGCCAATCTGAAGCGGCTGAACACCACGATGGCGGCTCTACGAGTCAACATCAATGTCATGGTAGGGAACGAATCGTGATGTGCTCCCGCCTTCGTCTCTACTTTGCCGTCTTTGTCATTGTGGTCAGTTTTGGGTCGCTCGTAACATTTTACATCCGTGATTCAGGCCCCATCCGGTGGCGTCTCAAATAAGAATTGAGCGGAAGGAAGGAACAGTCGCTTGGAAAGATCGAATGCGTGAGTTTACAGCTGAGCGGAGAGAATTCTTATTCAAATGAGCAGGAGCTTGCGGCGCTGACTGAGCCCAGCTTGCTCTCTCAAACCCAAGCCTCAGTGTCCGCCTTTTCAATGCATAAGCGACATCTGAGAGCCAGTGAAAGTCGAGAGAAGAAGAAGGAGAAGATCAATATGACAAAATCCCAAAGCCCGGTTAACCCGGTCGGTAAGAACAGAAGAAGGAGAAGAACAATCTTTCACAAACCCCAAAGCCCGGCCTAACTCGGTCGGTTAGAGGGAAAGAAGAAGGACAATCTATGACAAACCCGGTTCATCCGACTGACCCGGTCGGTAGATGAGAAGAAGAAGAAGAACAATCTATCAGAAAACCCCAAAGCCCGGCTAACCCGGTCGGTAATAGAGAAGAAGAAGAACAGTCTATCACAAACCCGGCTAACCCGGTCGGTAAACCCATCTGCGCAGGTGCCCGACTCCCCCATCCGCGAATACGACTTCCAGATCCAGCTGTCCGGCAGGAGCGAGCCACTGTTCGACTCTGCAAAGGACCGCAAAGACAGCGCCGATCGAAGCAGCAGCGAAAAGGCGTGGGGCGGTGGCCGAAAGCTCGCGCACAACCCCGAAGCGCACGTGATTGACGTCAGCCCCGAGGAGGATGACGTCAGCACGACGCGACGGGGGGCGGCGTCGAAGCGGCGGGGCGCGGGGGAGGCGGAAGGGGCGGAGGAAGGGGGGGCGCGGCGGGGGTACGTGTACCGGAAAAGAGATGACGTCAGCGAACGGAGGAAGGATGACGTCAGCGAGCGCAGAGCGGAGGACGTCGGCGAGCGGAGACGGGCTGACGTCAGCGAAAGGAGGCGGGAGAGCGCCGCCGAGACGCGGCGGGAGAAAGGCAGCGAGCGGAGGCTGGGGGACGTCAGTGAGAGGAGACGTGATGACGTCAGCGAGCGGAAAAGAGAGGACATTAGTGTACAGAAGAAGGACACGGTTAGCGTAAATAAGAAGGACAAATCTACCGAACGAAAGAAGGATGCCGTCAGCGAGCGGCCGACGGTGCGCGTGAGCTTCACTGACGGCGGAGGGTTTGAGTCTGGGGAGGAGGACCGGAAAGAGCGGCGACGGAAGCCAGCGGAACGGGGCCGGAAGGAGCCGGATTCAGAAAAACCGGCGGAACGGCCAGCGGTTAACACACCGCAAATTTCGCCGCTGGCGGAGCTGCTTGTGAGTCAGGAGAGCCAACCGACGATATGGTCAAAGGTAAGGCCGACCAAAGGCCCTGTTAGGACGCAAGTAGACGCGGCGAAGCAGAAGGAAAGTGAGAACGGAGCGCGGACAGGGCCTCAAAAAACGGTGGCTGAAAACGAGGTCAGGGGGGAGGTTGGAGGTGAGGCCCTGTCGGGGACTGGTGAGACTGTTATCGAGGTTCAAATGGCGAACTCGCGGGGTAAAGACGCCAAACGACAGGGCCCTTCCAAAACCACTTCGGACATGGGCGTGCCAAACGAGGCGGTGTCAAGCGCGCAGAACGGAGCGCTGCTGGAGAAACTTGACACCGCGCCTCGGGCGGACGCCGGCGCTGTGGCGCCTGATGACATCATAGAAGAAGGGAGCGACGCCGACGAGTTTTGGGGAGCTGACGTCAGCCGCGTCGCGGGAGAGGAGGCAGCAGAGAGCATGACGTCGGCGCCGGAGACTCCGGAAGAAAGCTCGACCGAGGGAAGCCCCAACGGTGCTGACGTCAGCAACGGCGCGCGCGCGGACGTCATCAGCGACGCTGACGTCAGCGACGGGGAGGGAAGCGGCGCGAAAGAACGGGCGGCGGGGGCGCGGCGCATCAGGCGTGGAAAGAAGGCCCGGGCGCAGGGGGAGAAGCAGCTGCCGGAGGATGTCCGGCGGGCGGAACCGGAGGCCGGAACTCCGGAACGGACGGAACCGGACGTCGGGGTGCGAGCAGGGTCGGATCTCGACCTGATGATGGAGTCTGTACAGGTGTTCCAGAAGGTGACGAAATTGAGCCCGGACAAGATTGCGAAAGTGGGCAGCGTGGGGAGCCAAATCATGACCGTGCTCGCGGAGAATGACGTGACGGGCGCCGGCGAGCCGTGGAACTTTCTGCAGTGGTACTCGGGCGAGCGGTCGGGGATCCCCCCCGAGCGCGCGGAGCGGTACGCGGAGGTCGTGCCGCTTCTGCAGGTAATTCTCGATACCTTGATTAGCAAGCCCCGTGACTAGTAAGCATTTTGGGGTTGACAAAAATCCTAATCTGAAACTTTACCTGCTCCGCACCTGTAACCACCCCAACCCCTTAACTGACCCCACAAAATCTAAACCCTGATAGTAACAAGGATAAATAGTAGTAAGGGATTAGTGTGGTGAGGACGAGGACGCTTGGGGTTAGTGTGGTGGTTAGGATGGGTTTGGGTGCGGAGCGAGTCCTTATGCAGTAAGAGAGTTCGTGTTGGTTAATCTTGAGAATCCTCTTCGTACTACTTTTAGATCCTATTACTATTATAGCTCATGGTTATAACCCCACCCGTCCTTGTTAACGGTCACTGGGCTTCCATTCTGTACAATGATTGGGATCTTTCTGCAGGGGGTCGTGGACCAGTCGGTGGACGACGAGGATTGGTCCGAGCTCCACACCGAACTCTTCGAGTCCCCGGACGGTAACGAGAACGGCGACCTTTTTGGCGACGGGCCCCCCACGATCCCCGCAGAACTTTTGCCGATGTTGGGCTTGGCTGACTGGTCCGGAGCGCTGGACCTAGTTCTAGATTCGACAGTGGGAAAAGGGGTTCGCGACGGCGAGTCTGGTAACGTGGCACAGGGGGTTTATGACGTCAGCGGCGAGAATGGGCGCGACGACCGGGCTGAGAGGACGAGTCTTGGAGCGGAAGGGAGCGACGGTCTGTCTGATGATGACGTGGCACCTCCGGCTGCGCAGACGTCTAACGTGATGACCCGTCCCGTCGTGCGGGCGGTTCCGGCTCGGCCGGGCCCGAAAGTGGGGGCCGGAAACCCCAGCGCGCGGCCAAAGCGGAAAGGCAGGCAAAAGAAGAAATAGCGAGATGAGATTCTGTTCACTTGAAGAGCGTACTGCCTTCAAAAAATTGTACTGTTCGACTGAGCCAGAAGTGATGTGCGTTGCCAACCTCTTGGCTTTTGAGTCACTACGATCCCTTTTCGCAGCGAAAACATGCAGATGTTGGAGCGCCCGGATCATGCATACGTGCACCTCTTTGACCACGAAATGAGTTTTTTCTCGTTACATGGCCGCATACTTGCGCTCACATGGCACTCACATGTTGATCATGTCGCAATCGAACTCTACCATGGAGTGTTGATTGCATGTGAGATGCTTGGACTCGTCCGAGCATGAGTTTCACAGATGTTTGACCGACCTGATCCTGCCAGCAAGCTTCTATTGATATCGGCTTGGATGCAGGCAGAATGACGTACTCCGGTAACACAGTGAAGTCCTTAAGAGACGGTCAGACTAGTGCCAATAACTGTCCATGCACATGTGCAACCGGGCGGCCCGCCCATATTCAGTTCGAGAGCCTAGAGCAAAATGACATCATTACACAGGCCTGCTAGCTCCTGCTTTTAATACATAATCTGAAGCTAGATCGTCATGCACCCGGCGCCATGCGCACATGCTCGGAGTACGTGGCTGCGGCTGCGCGCATGAGCTTTGAGTCTGTGCAATGGATCAACCGGTCAGCTCATGAATTATCAACAATCGATCCGCAGTTTGTGATCACTGATCGAGCGCTCTATATTGATATAGCATCCCGCCCGCAATGTTATTCTCAACCCCATTGTGCACATGGCCCAAGTGCGCCAGGCAGCGGATCATAAAGCTTATATATATACATAAAAAGCATTGCTGCACTGGCGTACATACATGCCAATTAGAGCCGACAACATTTAATGTCTGTATATAAAGATCCGGTATAACAATACCTTGCACGTAACCTGAAGCATGGGTGTTGAAGAATTGTATTTAAGAGGGCAGCTTAACAACATGAAATGCCAACGGCCGTCCAAAATCCCGGTTTAGGTCGCACTGAACTAGCAGACGCTCGGTAAAGGGTAACTTTCTACATACACACATACTCCCAATATAGGACTATATACGACTAACACATGCGATCAGTGGAAAGTACAATCCATGTCTGTTTGCAAACTCCTAGTATATTTTCGCGACTTCGATGTCCTTACCATCTGGGTTATCATTACTTACAGCCTAGTCTACATCCAAGTGACCACTTTCGTGTCAGCATTTCTAAGAGGCCTAAGATTTGACTTTTGGTACATAAGTAGTGTCACTTCCAATTTAAGAGCCCTTGGAATACACCAAAGACGCGCATCTCCTCATGGCGGCCCTTCAGAACCTCGAACCCGACTGTTGCTGCTCGTTGACGATCGCCTGTCGTAATTCCTGGTTTAACCTACTGTTGTACTTCAGTCCCTCACCGAACATAACCTGCTCAAGCGCAAGAAGGGACTCGTTTCTCATGATGAGGAGACCCGGCGGAACGGCCTTAACCAGCCCATTCCACGTATCCACTTCTGCAGGTGACATTTCGACTGTTCCCTTCGCGAGTTGCTTGATCCGAGCCGCGAGCCACCGCAGGAGCTCCCGAGCCGCGGGATGCGTCGTCGCGTGGTACATGAGCTTGAAATCAAACGCCTGTTGCATCCGGTCCAGCGCCCGGACGATGTTGGCGAAGATGGCCCGGTGCTTCGGGAAGCTCTCGAGCCGTTTGAGCCGCAGCCCGGCGTTATCCACGGCGGCGAACCAAAAGCTCAAGGTGCGTAGGGTGGGGTGCGCCGGGGGCTCTAGCGGCCCGAGTCCCTCCGCCGCCGACCGCTTTGGCGTGCGCGACCGAGGCCGTTTCGAAGGGCGGTTGCTCCCGGACCGATGGGGCGTCGGGGGCCTAGAGGAGGCCCGTGAAGAGGGCCTCGGTGACGCTGGCTCCACGTCAGCCGGCGGCTCGTGCGCACACGCCGCATGCTTTTCCGCCGACGCCGTCGGGCGGTCGTGATTTGGGGGGGCTTGAGCCGGCATCACATTTCGGGGAGACGAAACATGCGTGCGCTCAAAGCTGGGGGAAAGAGGGGTGACCAGAGCGCGTGGACTCAGAGGGTCGGCCTAGCCGGCCGCGGGTTTCCTTCGTGCGGCGAGGGCCTTTGTGAGCGTCTCCAGAACGCCCAGGCGCGCGCGCGCTTTCGCGACGGCGACCTCGACCTCATCCGCTCTCGTGGCCATTGCCACTTCGAACGACTGGAACATGCTCAGAAGGGCGCTTTGCGAGCTGCCCAGATGAGTACTGTCGTGATGCGGGGGCAGTCCCGAGTATGGGTCCATGTCCGTTGGTTCCGCTTTGATCCGGCCGACGCCGTCGGACGCTTTCCGCTTCTTGTATGGAGGGTCGTCCTCGGTAACGCCCTGAGGCGCCCGCCGCTTCTGGGCTAACTCAAACTCTAGGGCCTCGATCTTGACGGTCTGTCGCACTATCTGCAAAAAGGAAGAAAGACTCCGTGCGATAAGAGCTTGTTAGACGGGGCCATAAGTGGAAGCAACAGCCAAAAGAAAACACACTCAATCTCCGTCAAGTACACCAAAAAAACCAGGCGGTAATGGACCAGACGTCGCCTCGTTCCATCGACTTCATTATTCCTAATGACTGTGGAGCAATTTGGAGAGTGCTTTTAAGATGGGAACGCGACTTGAGTCTTAAAAAAGCGTGGACAGATCACGCAGACCTACACCGTAGACAAATGTTCATTCACTGCGCGTAGCATCGGGGAGATCTGTGGCAACTATTCCGGCCAACTCTCCCCAAGCGTCGTATGGTCAGACTGGCGTGAAAGTCAGGAAAACACCTGGGGTTGTGCTGGGTCTCTCTGCAAGGGCGGCCCTCATCTGATCGCACTCGAGGAAGATATTAAGGTATAATAAGATTACCGCGCTGAGACCTGTAGGGTTGATCTGGGGGTCCAGGATGGGTAGGGGTGCGGAGCGGGTCTCTTTCTGGGTTAGGCTTTTCAGTGGTAGTCGGAGCTTTTTAGAATCTTTCGCGAGTTTCATCCCCACCTGCTCCCGGCACTCCTTGACCTTGTCCTGCATCGCGACGAGTTCGGTCCTATGCCTCTCGTAGGGGCACACCGCCATGTGCGAAGCCAACTCGCTCCGCTGAATCACGATGGTGCAGCCGTCTTCCTTCCTATGGCACGGGACGTCCATCCCTGGGCACTCGTCCTGTGCCGACAGAAAAGCGAGGAGGAGGGTCAAGTATGCACGACAAAACATACTTCTCGACCTCATGTTGACTAAGCGCATGTTGATTTAGGCTAGTGCTCGGAGGCACGAACAAACCTAAAACTCTACATCCATAAATGACACAAGCTCCGCTCCCTTGCCCACTTTGACCCTCAAACCCACCCTACCCGTCCCCGTTTCCTGAATCAACATGCCCTCAGTCAACATGATATCGAACCTATCGACACAGCGTCGCCGGAAGTCCAGCCGACGTCTTCTCGGTGTAAAGACAATCCTGTGGCCTGCCATTTGAGCACGTAGTACAGGGGAATGCAAGGACGGGCGAAATCTGGAGACGCCAACCGGAAGTGCGGGTTGCTTTCCAAACAAGCCGACTGCCGCTCTTTATCCAATACGCACGAGCATATGAGCATTTCTCCTTTCCATGTGGGGAGGCTTTGATGCGTCCCGCATGCAGGATTTCTTACCTTCACTAATGCGCACAACAGGCGGAGTGCCAGAAAAGCTTCCACTCCAACATTTCAATCGATCCAAAGACCATCTGGACGAGCGGTACACAAACAGCCACAGCCTGCACGAACCCACTTTCAGCCGCAAGCACCCGTCTCTCGAAACGCGATGTCACCTTGCGGTGCTTCTCCTTGAGCGGGCTCGGGACGCTCGCTTTGCAGCGGCGGCAGATCACGGTGCACGCCGTTTGCCGGTGCGTCGGGAGGTCCCCTTGGAGCACGACTCGCCCGCAATTTTCGGGGCACATGATGACGTTCAGATCGCAGGTCGGCACGTGCGCGGCCATCTCGTCAGCGGACCCCACGAACGAGCAGCTGCTGCTGACGCCCTCCTGGCTGCCAATCTGCGAAGGGAATGGCGGAAGGAGTTTGAGTTGAAAAAGACAACGGCGAATTTGGAACTTTGAAAGCTTTGCTTGGGACGACGTGGGCGAGTGGGCGCTTGGCAGCAAGAGAGGTAATGGGGCCTTTGGGGCCTCCGTCCGATAAGAGAATGTAGGCCAAGTGAATCCAAGCATCCGCAGAATTGATACAAGCACTGAGGTACTAGTCCAGATGCTAGCAAGCTGAAGCTGTGTTAAGAGGAAGGAAACAGGACACTTTGTGGCGGATCGAAGACGGGTAAGCCCTTCCCAATCGAGAGAGGCTTGCCAAAAGAACTATGCCCGATGCTCCAACGGTTCAGTCAGCGAATATGCAAAGGGAACAGGCTTTCCGTGTTGTTAATGATTCGAGTCATCAAGCAGAAAATGAAGCTTGCTTTACCTGCTTCGAGTATTCCAGTGGGAAACAAAAGGAAACGAAACACGGCACTCGTTCGCTAACCGGGCACAGTTGGAGGATGTCACCGCTTGCTTTGGTCCTATTCTCTCTCGCTCTCAACTCCCAAAATTTACGACCACCTTCCACCAAAATCGGAGATAATCGATGTTTCAACCAACAAAGCACCATGGAGAGCCCGGTCTAGCCCCATGCGTCTTCAAACAAAGATATGAGGAAATGGACGTCCACATTTTAGACGGGATTCTGCCCAGCATACAAGCAGAAAGTCCCTCACCGGCGTATACGCGTTTGCCGCGCAGTCATATGTGAACGCATTCACACAGCGCCGCTTAAGGCTGTTGATGATGCTGGCGGCCACCATGTTAACGGGCCCTTGCGACATGTACAGGCGCTCCTCGCATTCGGGACAATCGTTGGGAGTGCTCTGTTTCTTGAAGCCCACGAGGCATGCCGCACAGAACGTGTGCCCGCACTTGCCGCCGATTGTGGGCTTGTCAAACAGCTGCTTGCAGATGCCGCAGCTGCAAAACGGCCAATGTGTCTTTGTTTCTGTTTCCACCTCCGCGCTTTTGGTTAAGACTTTCATTTCGCTTTCTTCCCCTTCCTGTCGTCCCAGTTCTTGAACAGGCATTCGTCTTATAAAGAACTTCTCCCGAACTCCACAACTGACGGCTGCGGAAGACCTCTTCTAGAGTAAAAGGCTCCTGCTGACAAGAGAACTGCCTGTTTGTGGGGACGGGAAGAATAAGGTTGAAACGATCAGAGAGCCTGGCGGAAGTGCCCCTTCAAGATACTCTCCAGCGCCCTGTAGCAATGCCGCACAGCGGGTTGACAATCAATGGGGTCTTGACTCGGCGCATACTTGCCATCTGCAAGCGATGCCCCTGGCAAAGCAGGAACTGCCGGTCGTGATAACCCCAAGGGCAAGCTAAATGTAAGCCAACAGTTTGAAAGGAGGCAGTTCATAGCATGTCGAAAGTTTCTTGTTTGGATTCCTGCTGAGAGGGTCACAGCGAGACCTACCCAGTGTCTCCTTTGATCCAACCCCACTTAGGTATCACTCCGGAACCCACGATCTTTCTTCCAATCCCAACCTCCTTGAAACTTGGACAATAAATCCAGGAGTTCTCCAAAGACAACCTTCTCAAATTTAGTGCCCGCATGCAAAGCCCCTTCAGAAGGTCAAGGAACATAATGCGTCCATAAAAGCTGACCTCATGACCTCCTTCCCCCAGCCCCCAGAAAGTAACAACAAATGCGCGCACCTGATCGGCAGCAGCTGCATGCCTTCCATCGGCACCACCAGTGTGGCCAGGCTGGGCCCCGCTCGAAGGGTCGGGCCATAGGGAACTTCTCCAGAGGACGAGCAGAATTTCACCACCCCCGCGGACGGCCCCTTGCCCACGGTGGGGAAGTTGCAGAACCTTGTGAAGGCAGCCATTGCAGGCCCTGGTATGAGGCAGGAGGGGGAGTGTGAGGCAGGAGGGGGAGGTTTGGCACTTGTTGTCAATCTGGAGGATGCATGCTAGGCTGTGTTGAACCCTCGGCGTCATTTTGAAAATCAAAGGTCTGGATGGAGAATTTCACAGAGGCAGCGAATGCTGGCTGTGATTCAGTAAGAAGGAGTGAGTCTCCTGCGGCGCTGTGGTCAGGCTGTGATTCCAAGTGTTCCTGTAAACAAGGCTCTTCAGTACTCAAAAAATGCAGAACACATGAAAGACTCCCTCAGAGTCTCATGTATCCAGCCTCGCATTCCACCGCACTCCGCCACCTGCAACATTTCTGTTACTTATGCTAAGGCTGAAGTTACGTGGACACATTCTTTGCCGCCAGTAGGGAAGGATTAAGAGATTGTCTTCCATGATGCTGTACTAGTTTAGATTCAAATTTCATCCTTCCTTTTAACTTGTGTTGATTGCAAAAGACAAGTGGTTGTGTGAACACAGTCATCAAGATTTCCTGATGAACAACCCACACATCGTACATGTCAGAGGCAGCTGAATTGGTGACGACAGTTGTGATACAGCCCGCAACAGCTCTTCTCTTGCTATTTTCCCGAGACGAAAAACTGTATTGAACGCCAGCTTCGCATATACCGAGCCGGGCGCAGCCAGAGAAACGCAAAGAGGCTCAGTACAAAACTTCCCGTCAAGTCAACTAAACATACCTGCCAGCGAGCCACAGTGGTGCGGTGCGCTCAAATCTTTGAGACTGGCAGCTCACCGTGCACTGGACAACACAGAGCTTTGATATTGTTCACATCAACCCGTTCTCTAAAGCGCCGCGCATCCTCTTCGAATCCTCCGTAGCGTTCAGAATGTCAAGACGACTCGAAGCGCATCCGCGACCTCCGCATCCAAAGGCAGCTGGAAAGCCACCCAGATTGACGTAGACCAAATGCTTCTGTTTTGGATGTGCTTCACCCTGATATACGGTAATCGCCACCTCCAAATCGACCTCCTCTGCGGCCGAGGAAGGAGCACTCCACA